TACTAGTTATAAAACATGTACTTCTTTAAGTTTTTAAGTCTCCAAATTTTCTACATGGATCATATATTACTTATAATATCAATAGGAAATTAACAAAAATATCTATTACATTATTCCTCTAGCAATCAGATTATCTAGTTTATTAAGGTGACCTATATTTAATTCTCTGAATCGGCAACATTTCTGGAAACTGTTTCAGCAGAATCTCAAGATTCTGGAGACAGACAACCTGGGTTTGAATTATAAATCCACTAATTCCTGCTGTGTGAACTGAATACATTACTTAGTCACTTAGTGCCTAAATTTCCTTACCTGGAAAAAGAAAATAACAGGTACTATCTCAAAAGGCTGTGAAAAAGATTAAATGGGTTAGAATGTACAAAGTCCTTAAGAGTGGCCAATATTTTATAAATACATATCCATTTGGTTTTGTAGCTGTGGTCAAGTTCTTGAGGTTAGAGGACAGATAACTTAATTCTTTATATGTCTACAAAAACTTTGTTGTAAAGTAAATCTCCTCTATGCCTCTGAGAGTTTTAGGGAAAATAGGACACACAGTTATAGCAAGGCTTCCTGTATTGTAACCTCTCATTACAACCTAATACCAAGAAAGAGGAAATCTCTACAAACTTCATACAATTAAATTTTCATTATCTAATGTAGAGATTTTAAAAACAAATCAGCATACAATGTACACTGGCTGGCTATGTGGTCTTAAAATGTTAAAGGAATATCTTTGTGCAACAAGGAGAATAAATTACTGTCCTAACAATAAGCATCAGAATTCCTCTTAGGGAACCATTCTGATAAACTACTTGGAGTGGAAACTCAAAGCCTTAGAGAGGAGCTAGTGTGAGATGATGCCACAGTGGAGAAAGTGAAACTATTCATCACTAGATATGAAAAATAACTTGGGTAGGGAGAAGATATCACAGGGTTTATGACAGAACAGCAAAGTGACTTTTAAGGAAAGGTCCAATATTATACCCTAGGGGTTTGTTGCATTTCATTTTGTTTTTTGCACTGTAACACCCTGGCACACACATGCACACATCACCTCCAAAGCTAAAGTACTGAGAGGTTAACTGGAGGAGAGTTTTCTTACTTGTTTTGATTTTTTATTTTCTAACGCAAATCAAAGAGAGGCAAGTTACATGTCTCTGTTGACATGGTTTGAGACAGGGACAGATCTGCAAGGTAAGGAGCTACCAGTTCACAGAAACAGCTTTTATCTAGAGGTGAGCAGTGTTAGATAGACAACAAATATTTCTCCCTTTCCCTCTATTTCCAGAACCTTTCCCACTGGGAATTTTCAGAAGTGCCAATCTGTGATCAACACTCTATCACTCCCACCTTGTTCTTATTCTCTTTTCTATTTGCTCTCATATTTGTGGTGAGCCCATCCAGCCTCATCACTGTCTATATCATATGCTGGCAAATAGATATCTGTAGCCAGATTACTCACCCAAACTTCATATTTATAAATTCAACTGCCTATCTGAATTCCTTTCAAGACATCAAGGTGCCACCTAAATGTTTAATAGACATATCAGTCTCAAAAATCATCCCCCTCCACAATTGTAAAACGCAATTCCATCCTGCTCAATCTTGGGCCCAAAAAAACCTTGGAGCTGTCTTGGTACCTCTCTCACACATCCCACATTTTATTCATCTGCAAATATTTTTGTTTCTGTTTTCAATATATATCCAGGATGGAACCACTTCCAACTACCTCATGGTTAACGTCTTAGTCCAAGCTATCATCATATTTTTCCTGAAATTTTCTGGAGCCTCTTAACTGTTTTTCATGCTCCACCCTTTCCCACTCATCAGGGTCTCAGCTTCAGCACTATTGACATTTGGAGCTAGTATCATTGTGGAGGCTGTTGTGTGCACAATAGGATGTTTAGCAGTACTACCCACTAAACACCAGTAGCACACACTCCACCACCACCCACCTTGAGTTGTGACAAACAAAATGTCTCCAGATATTGCCAAGTGCCTCAATCAATCCCTGATTAAGAACATTGGCCCTACAGTGTATTTTCTTTTTTTTTAATTTATTTATTTATTTATTTATTTCGAGATGGAGAGAGAATCCTTAGCTGGCTCTGCACTGTCAGCACACCATGATTCGAGGCCTGATCTCAGAAACCATGAGACCATGGCCGGAACTGAAATCAAAAGTCAGATGCTTAACCAACTGCACTACCCAGGCATCCCACCCTACAGTGTATTTTCAAACTAGGTGCACAGCTCACACGTTTACAGCAGAACCCAGATTATGTAATACTTCTGCTCAAAACTGACTAATACATTTCCATCTCACCCAGAAAACAAAAGAAAAAAGAAAAGAAAAGAAAAGAAAAAGCCAGAGTCCTTACCATGACCTGCTGGCTATACATCTGTTCCACATCCATAAATCCTTCCTTGACTTCATTTCCTATTTCACACCCATTTACTCTGTTTCAGTCATACTTACCTCTTGACTATTCCTGAAATATACCACCAAGCTCCCCTCTCAAGGTCTGGGAACTTTGTTTCCTCTGCCTCTATGCCTATATCCTTGTACCCCAATACCCATTTGGCTTGTTCCTTTACTCCCTTAAGGTCTTTGCTCAAAAGTCACATTCCAAACAAAGCCTTCTGTATTCACTCATTTTCAAATTTCAGCCCCCTTCCCATGCCTCATCTTCCCCCTACTCTTCTTTTCCCTCAATTCTAGCATTATTTTTAATGGCATTTATCTCCACCTGATATGCTACATGTGTTAATAATTGTTTTAATGTCTGTCTTTACCCAATAGGATGTAAGCCCCAGGAGAAAAGGAATTTTTGCCTTCTTTATTCACTGCTGTATCCCCACAGAAAAGTGTGTATAGGAAGCACTCAAAAAGTGTTTGTTAAATAAATAAGGAAAGGAAGAAAGGAGGGAGGGAAAGAAGGAAGGACAAAAGAATGGAAGGAAAGAAAGAAGTGGGGAGGGAGAGAGAAAAGCATCTTTGGTAGATCTGAAGAGCCAAGGCAGATGCAGCTGATATCTAGGACACATTCAGATGCACCATTAACAAAGACTGAGTTGGTTTCCATAGAATTTATTTAATCATTATATATAATGGAAACTAAGGATTTATCAAAATGCTTCCGTGCTTAGAAATTTTATATAGGGAGTTTTTAGAAAGCATCTGTATAAATCCATTAATACACAGATCTAAATATCTATAGATATATAAAATAAATAGAACTTTGAAAGGAATTTTATAAAGTGCCATGGGCTATGGTAACTCCCCTACATACATAAAGAGGAGTGTGCTGGGGTAAGTCAAATCATTCAATTATATACACCATAAGGAGTTTAATAAGTAATAGTAACAGTGAACAAAGCCCTTTTCTACCAGATGAAAGCCTGCATGGTTCAATTGTGAGTGAAAGAGAGGAACAGAAATGCTTCCTGCTGCAAGCTGACAGTTACATGGAACCCCCTGAAGTTATAAATTGAGTTCTTCTACTAATTACTGGTCTGAAGGGGACAAAGATCCACATTTTATTTCTCTTGCGGAACTTGCAACATAAGCACTTGTGAATTTTACATTAGGGTCAAGCTGGGAAGTTCCCAGCCGGTTTTACCTGGAGTAGAGGAAAGTGTCACCTCCCATGCAAATAAGGTCAGATAGTCCTTCCTGCCTTGGGTGCCTAGAGGGAGATGTGAGTGTAACAGATTCTAATAAGGAAGTTGATATAGAGGAGGGGAAAAGGAAAGAAGGAAAGAAAAACAAAACTAAATATAGATCCTGTTTGAAATAAAATTTTGTTTAGAAATTTGAAATAAAATCTTATGGATTCTAAGAGCACATCTTTCAGAAAGACTTCAGAATTTTGTAATATCATTCCTTAAAATTGTATGCCACACCAAATCAACTATTCCATCTACTTTCTAAACTACTCATTGTAAGACCAATAAAGCTACACAGCAGGCAGGTACTTTAATAAAATAGACCCAGTTCTCCAGAAAGAGGAACCTGTGGTTCAAATGCTAACACTTTTGATCAGGTAAGCACTTTATTTTTACCAATGAGCAATCACTTTTATGTGGATGCAGATCGAAATGTTCTTGAGAAGGAAAATAAAATGGGCAAGGGTTTGGGGGACAAAATACTGCTATGATGTAACATTTCAAAACAGGTTTTCTGAGAAGGAAAAATAACTACAGCATTTCTAATGGGTATACATACCCTTTCTAACTTCCTGGAAAGTCACAGTTCACTCCCCCGAAAAAGCAGTAGCTTCATTCGAATTTGGGTAACAAAATTCACTCATTTGTTCATTCAAAAAATAATCATTGAACATATTGTCTTTGTAAAAGGAAATAAGAATACTTGTGCTGAATGCTATCTTCATTATACAGTTTCTTTTCTCTTTTGTTTTTATTCTACTTACTATACCTGTACTGACATATGACTGGACAAAAATAATGTGAGGGATAATTAATACATTGAGGACCAATAGCTGAGAACTAGGAAAGAGAAAATAATCAATGAGTGTCTCATAAAATATTGAAGAGTTCTGGGAGTCATCAAGACTTAACTTGAAATCCCAGCTCTTCCACTTATTGGCTGCCTGGATGAAAGAAACATCCCCTGGATGTCAAGTCCCTCAGATAGAACATGTTCTATCAGTACCTACCCAGCTAGTAGCTGTGAGGATTAAATGAGATGCTGGCAAGCACCCCTCCACAGCGCATATTCAAAGAATTATAGCTACGTGGGTTATCTTTTGGAAAACTAAACTTACATAATGTCTTTCTTAATTCCTACGAGGACTTCTTGGCAAGACCTAAGAAACATTAGGTTTTATTTTACCTCTTCAGAAGCAATTAGTTTTCTCATGCTCATCTTCTCTAAAAATATAACTCTTGGAATTTTTACATCTCAAATAAATGCATGAAGAAAAATTTCCACCTTCAAGGATCCCTTCCAATAAAATAACCACAAAAATACTTACCTAGTTTTGGCAAGGAATAGGGGACTTTAAAGTAGTCTTCATAAAATTCTATTAGTCTCTTTGTTATATGGAGAGCATAGTCCCCAGATCCTCTTCTGATAGCATCAGGTCTTGCATATAATCGCACCTAATTAAAAAAATATATAAAAGTTACATTAGCCTTTGGTATTCAAATTCTATCTTCCCTGCATATATGAATCTGCACAAATCACTCTGAATGCTACAAAAATTAAATTGCATTCTTATTCATATATCAAAGCATGCTGCAGCTGAAAGAACCAAACTTGAACAATTAAAGCAACCAAGTTGAGCAAGTTACAATTTCCTCACTTTACAAGATGATATAGAGAAGATTTATACACCTTGCATCAAAATAAATATTCAAGTTATCACTTACATGTGCTTGCTAGAGATATGAAGGTATGGTGGATTAGTATAATGGTTCCTTGACTATGCTGTAAGTAGGCAGGATACGGTGGCTCCGCAGGAAAGAAAATTCATGGTTTGTTAAAGACACACTGCATCAAGCTTTGGAAGTATTACCAGGCTGAACAAAATATAATTTATGCTTCCTTCTTTTCTTTTGAAGCAACTGTCCTTATTCCCAATATGCAAAGTAGGAATAGCAAATTTTTCATGTACATAAATAATTGCCATTCTGGAAGGCTGTCTGCAACTGCTCCCAGCTTCAAAACCAGCTGAAGTGTTCCATATTTCTAACACAATTCGGATACTTAATATTGATTTTTAAATCAAGCATTGTATATTATCTAGTCCTTGGCCAAAAAGAAGCCTGAGGCAAATAACATAAAACTGAACAAAACTAACAATTGTACAGAAAAGGTTAAAATGAGATTAGTTTTCATAAAGATTTCATAAAGCCATCCAGCATCTTTCTTTCCAAAGGCTAAATCTATTTTTCACAGATGTGTCCCCTAATCCTCTTATCAATTCTGTGAATAAGAAATGTGCATTTTTGTGGAGCAGTAGAGAACACAGCAGCCTGAGAGTTGGGTGTTAGTCCCGTTCTGCCACTAAGCAAGTTGGGTGATATTGAACAAATTACTTAACCTCTTTCGGCCTCAAGTGTTCTCACTTATAAAACGAAGGTGTCGACCAAAGTGCTTTTGAGTTCTAAAACATTACTTCCAATCCCATTTTATAGATAAAGGAGTTTGTGTTCTTTTCAAATTACTAAAGAAAAAGGAAAATAAATGATTTACTGCGTATGTGGAAATGGATATGTATAGTCAACAGGAAGACAAAAGAAAGCTGTACTCGATCATATAAAAATTGATTTTACAATTAACTCTGTTATCCTCACTTAAGAAGACAACAGATGTATATAAACCAAAAGAGTAGAAAGTTAAAAAAAAATGCATCCTGACTTGATGTTAGAAAGACGTAATTCAGTAAGATATTTACTGAATTCAGTGACAGTTATTTACTGAAATAGTGAAACTACTTCTTAACCAATAACCAAATCAAATATCAAACTTAGTTCACAGTCACCTACAGTTTAGGTTGGCAGTAGTATAAAGCCAAAAACTCTCAGGAAGAACTGGCTACAGCAGCAGAGCTTAAGACTCTTATTAAAGAGATAGTGAATATGATTCCCTGACCCTGACATCAACTGATTGTAAACATGCACTGTCTTACATAAAGTTCCCAAGAAGCAAACCCTAAGGAAAGAGGGAGCATACAAGTAATTTACTAAGGAAGCATTCTTAGCAGAAACCTGTAAAAGAACAAGGCAAGTGAGACAAGGGAGGCTAATAAGGTGAGCAAAGGCGTGTGCAATTTGAGGTAAAGCCCTGGGTTCAGCCTGATCCCACAGGGGGCTCTAGAGTATAAATTGCACTTGGAAGTTTGCACTGCATTGAGGCATGATAGCTAGAACTCCATAGTCTTATACCTGTCATTGGATACTGGTTATTAAGGAGAAGGCATAAAATCCCAAGGACTTACTCTTGGAGCACCTAGGTCCAAAGATAGTCCTTCAGAAAAGATTTTATGTGTCAACTGTCAGGAGCAGAGCAATGAAGAGGGGGGGATACACACATCAAAAAGGAAAGGAGATCTGGTCTGTGCATAATCAACATCCACCACAGACAGTAATCATTCATTCCTGTAGTCATTCAATCCGTAAATATTTATTTGGCACCTATCTTGCACCAGGGTCTCGACAACGGATTTTTAACTTAGTGATGAAGAAGACATGTTTTCTAACCAGAGATGGTACAAAGCATTTTGAGGAAAAAAAAGCAATGAAGATGTAATACCCATCCTCAAAGATCTTCCCATGTATTGGGTAGGCTAGAGAATAACAACAGGTAATATAAATGCCATATGAATGGAAAACTAAAATAACAAATGTATTCTGAGGAAGAATAGATAGCTTTAAGAAGGTCAAGGTGAAGTAAATATTAATTCATGTTGAAACCATAACCAGGACCACTGCAAACTGATGCAGAAAAAGGTCACTGATTTTACTCCTACGAAGCATCACTGATTTGGGTAGAAATACAGGCATTCCTGTCAATCAACTCTACCAGTTAGTCAAGCTATCTGTAGATCCAGACAAGAGAAACACAATTAAATCAATTTGGTTGTCAAGACTTGATGGAAATAATCCAATCTAAGTGAGAAGATAAAACATACACAGGCTGAGCACAGTGACTACATTTGCTCATTCAAACATTTATTGCACACCTGCTGTGTGCCAGGTATTGTACTAAGGAATAGAATAATAAAAATTCTTATCACAAAATGAACAAGACATTTACACTCTTAAGAGTTTATACTACTCTTAAGAGGTCTATAATATGTGCAGACAAATCCACATAGAAATATAATGTAAGCAATGGGACAGTGTACCCTGACTCCCCCCATTGCAAATGATTAACTGACTAACCTCAAACACAAGACCCAGCACCACCCCCCAGCCCACATTCTTGCCTTTTCCAAAGCATCATGCCTGAACTTCTCTTTACTCCAATATCACCAATTTACTCCTCCATACTGGGTCATTTTCATTAGCAAATACTTTGTATCATTTACCACGTTTTCAAACAAAAATCTTTATTGAGCATAGTTTCTGCAGCTATGGTTTCCAGCAATATCCATTGAAAACGTTTTCCATATAGTTAGTATGAACATGTAAGTTAACATCCAAGCTAGAACACTTTTGAGAATGAAAACAGTACTGAGATAATAACTGTAAGTAGGGTGGTTACCTAGTTATGCTGCCTGCTTCTAATCTTTCTTGAATGTACTGCAATAAAGCTTTAATCTCCACCATATACCAACAGTATTCATCCCCACTATATACAAAATGTGTTCTCATTGAGACCACTAATAGCTTCAGAATGCCAGATTCAACAGTCAGATTCTAGTCTTCAACATGCTAAACCTATCAGCAGCATTTGACACAATCGTTTCCCTTCCTTGAACCATTTTCTTCCCTTGGCTTCCATCTTACTTTTCCTTCTATCTTGTTAACACTCCTTCTCAGCCTCCTCACTGATTCTGCCTCATCCTTATCCCTCTCATTACTTAATTTTGGAAAGTTAAAGTGTTAATCCACAGACATCTTCATTTTTTTGTTTATGTTCAATATCTTGATGGCAACACTAATCTCATGGTTATAAATATCATTTAGATGCTACAGTCCTAACCTGTAATTCCATAATTCCAGACTCATTGATCCAGCTGTCCACTGGACATCTGCACTCTGGATGCAAGGGAAATAAAAGCAAAAATAAACTACTGGAATTTCATCAAAATAAAAAGCTTCTGCACAAAGAAGGAAACAATCGACAAAACTAAAAGGCAACTGATGGAATGGGAGAAGATATGCACAAATGACATATATGACAGATTTGATAAAAGGTTAGTATCCAATATATGTAAAGAACTTATAAAACACAATATCCAAAAATGAATAATCCAATTTAAAAATAGGCAGAAGACACAGACATTTTTCCAAAGAAGACATGCAGATGGTTAACAGACACATGAAAGATGCTCAGTATCACTCATCACCAGGGAAATACAAATACAAACTACAATGAGATATCACCTCACACCTGTCAGAATGGCTAAAACCAACAACACAAGACATAATAGGTGTTGGCAAAGTTGTGGAGAAAGGGTAACCCTTTTACAATGTTGGTGGGAATGCAAACTAATGCAGCCACTCTAGAAAACACTATGTTTTCCTCAAAAAGTTAAATATAGAACTATCCAACTATCCAGCAATTGCACTACTAGGTATTTACCCAAAGAATCCAAAAATACTAGTTCAAGGGATACATGTATCCTGATGTTTATAGCATTATCTACAACATAGATATAGATATATAGTTATTATATATATCAAATGTATATAATAGAATATTAGCCATCAAAAAGAATGAAATTTTGCCATTTTCAATGACATGGATAGAACTAGAGAGTATAATGCTAAGTGAAATAAATCAGAGAAAGACAAATACCGTATGATTTCACTCTTATGTAGTTTTAAGAAACAAAATGAATAAGCAAAGGGAAAAAAAGAGAGAGAAAGAGGGGAGGGCAAACCAAGAAACAGACTCTTACTACAGAGAACAGACTGATGGTTACCAGAGGGGAGGTTAGTTGGGGGATGGGCTAAATAGGTGATGGGGATTAATAATCCAGTGCCCTCCAGCCAACCTATGGTTGATGCAAGCCAAGAACTCTTAACTGGAAGAAATTGTATTGCCTTGTACAATCTGAATCCAAACACACTGAGTCCACATACTCAGGTAGTGACTACTCTAACCTGTGCTAACATATGGGCACAACCTGTTGGACAGTTTTAGCTTCCTGTGAACATTTGCAACCACTGCTTTAATCACTTCCCACCTCTTGCCACGTACAGCTGCTATCTGTCCTTACTTGTGGACTTCTCCATAGTGTGCCAATAGCTGGCATTTTTGAGGCTGCTTTGATATTTTGTAATTGAGAGTTCATTTCAAAAGCAGAAAAAGACAAAAAAATATATTAAGGCAAGGAAAAGTTTCACTGAAACATAAAGAAAAAAACAGATTCCATCACTACAGTATAGATGATGGATTGCAAGGGAATAGGAACAAATATAAGGAT